GTGTGTATATATTTGATGAAGAAACTTTATTTATAGGGACACCTGTAACTGCAGTCATAGTCTGTTAATCCCAGACGACACAAGAACTGCAGGCTCACTGGGATTTTGCCTGGCAGATACCATAAGGACTAACAAAAGAGTTCACATTTCACCCTGTGATGAAAGTGTGAATGCTTGCATCATTCTTATAACACTGCTGACAGGCACACATGGCAGTTTTGAAAAAAAAAACAAAAAAACCTAACAGTCATACTACTGATGTTCCTTCTCATTCTACTTTACAAGTGAAGCACTCTAATACATAAACATTGGAGACAGCAGCCTCTTGCTGTGCTTCAGATGCACACACGGTGATGCATTTACGACTTTAATAATGCCTAGAGAAATATTGAAAACCTGAGCTTGATATTTTCAGTTACTATTTATTTGCCAACATGCTGGAGACTGAACCTAGAGCCTCAGGCATGTTAGGGAAGCACTCCATTACTGATCTGACCTTCCTGGCACTAAACTTTAAATTTTATATATACATATGTCTCATTTCAAATTATAATGCTAACAATAAAAGTTTTCTTTCTGGTGAGTCTTTTCCAATAGAAAACTGCTGCTATCGACGATGATCCTTCCTCCTCCTCCTCCACCTCCTCCTCCTCCTCCCCTCCTCCTCCTCCTCCTCCTCCTCCCCTCCTCCTCCTCCTCCTCCTCCTCCTTCTTCTTCTTCTTTTTCTTTTTCTTCTTCTTCTCCTTCTTCCTGCCTCAGATCCTAAAATTAGAAACCATAGAGTCTAACATAAGAAAAATATTGACAGCCAGGGCTACACAGAGAAACCCTGTCTTGAAAATCAACAACAACAAGAAGAAAGAAAGAAAGGAAGAAGGGAGGGAGGGAGGCAGGGAGGGAGGGAGGGAGGGAAATTATCAGTAGTTTTGGACAGAGAAAGACAATGAATTGAGAAACAAGGTGGGTATTCACTCATCCAGCTTTTTAAAAAATCAGGAATGATTTTGATAGAGGAAATACAAAGCCCCTCAAACACTAATTCCACATACAGATTTCTACGACAAACATGTCTGATGGCCCTGGAGTCAGAGCTACTAACCTAAGCCATGGAGACACAGGGGTGATGCAGACAAATACCCTTTGGAAGTTCAGACTTCCAAAAAATAGTGTTTCTCAGGACTTCAAATTGGAACTTTTTTTTTTTCCTGAGACATTTTAATGTGAAAACTGTAGGGAATTGGTACCCTCCAAATTCACTTGGGTGTCCATTCATTGACTATTTTCTCCCAACAGCTTCTCAGAGTCAGATAAAGATCAGAGAAGCAAAGCAGCCTGCCATTAGAGAGTTCTTACCTCTACCAATGTTCAGACCAAAGGGGCGATCCTGTCCTCAAGACTGGATCCTCAGTTTGATTGCCTCCTCAGACTGCTTTCTCAGACTGCCTCCTCAGACTACATTCTCAGACTGCCTCCTTAGACTGCCTGCTCAGACTGCTTCACACTTACTGCTTTCAGACTTACGGCTGCTCAATCTGCCAAGACGGCACTGCTCCTCAGACTGCACTGCTCCTCAGACTGCACCTCTCTGTTGTCTCCTCTCTCCTTATATTCCTGTCTCTTCCCAGCCATAGCACTCCTGTCTCCAACTCCCTAGTGCTGGGACCAAAGGCATGTGATCCCAAGTGCTGGCATCACCTGTGTGAGCTGTTTCTCTTTTAGACAATTCAATCTCATGTGGCCTTGAACTCTCAAGCTCTATCTGCCTATGATTCCCCAGTCCTGGGATTAAACACTTTGCCATCACTACCTGGTCTCTACAGCTAACTAATATGAGCTAGCTCTGTGCTCTGACCTTCAAGCAAGCTTTATTTGTAAGACGTTAAACAAAGTATCGAGACAACTTCCAAAATTAGATAATGTTATTTCCCATCTGTAAGGAAAAAAGTCAAGATGATGGCCTTTAAAAGTGGTTCTCACCTGGATCCTGCCTTGTGAAAGGGTTTCAGGTGCCTGAGCAGTTTGGGGAAAATTTCAGAGACATCTAATGTGACTCCAAACAGTTTACTCTATTGTTTCCTGTTCAGGTAAGCCTGAGTACTGGTTGTGTCCTTGGTCTTGAATTTTTCTTGGCTAATGCCTATCAGTATTTTATGACTCATTTAGAGGTGTGGCCAAACTTCAAATGTCCCAGGGCTGAGTAAATACCATTAAATCTCAGGAGCACACTGAAAACCATTTACCAAGGCTGGATAAAGAAGATCTTGGTGCAAGAGGATCACAGGCTGGGATTACATCTAAGCATTTGTCACAGTCTCCAAAGCCTCATGAGTAGGCATGAAAGACAGATTTAATTCTCTGGGATTTTGTAAGCCTAGTTTTAAACTAAACTCCCTACTAAATCACTGTTTGCCACCCAAACCTTGTGGTTTGTCTTGATTCCTTGAAACTTAAAGATAAAATATGTAAGAAAATTCTACTTTACATGAGTTTGTATATCAATTGGTGTCGAATAGCTTCACATTTTCTCAATGGATAATTCAATTATCTTTCTAATGATTCAATTTGCACTTACTTACATTTGAAGACACTGATTCCATTTTGTTTTGTTTTTTTTGTTTGTTTGTTTATATTCACATAAAAACAACTGGGCAAGGTGTAAGTATGATCTTAGAATGTGAAGTACATCAAGCAAGCATAGTATTTATTTCTGATTGTTTCTTAAGATAGGTAGTTGTTTCTGGCTTGTCTCTATGTTTCATAAACCTTGGTCAAGGTGCTGCTCAAATTTTCATTACATATTCTAAAAGATAGCTTAATCCTTTCTACCTTGATCTTTAAAATGCAATACATCAGTTAAGTAGAAGCTTTTCTCCAAATAGTCTCATATAAGTTTGAAGATAATTTTTGGAATTTTATTTTTGACTTCTTAAGTTCAATTTTTCAATGTGTAAAGAAGTACACTTAAATTATTTTACTATATGTTGTCAAATTATAGCTGTATTTACTGGACAGTGTAGTGGTATGTCTTTTAAATATAATAAGGAGCAATTGCTAAATATCCTTTAGCATTTGGAGGTGACAATGTCAGAAATTTGTTCTCTTACCAGTATCAAATGCATTGAATCCAGGGATTAGCTATACTCACCACATTGTGTTATCAAATTTAAAACAGAAGCCAAACCATTCATCCAATTGGATTGATGTCCATCACCTCCCAGCCTCTGGAAACCACTTTGCTCATCTCTGCTCCTCTGAGAAAATCGTTTCCATGTTCATAGATAAATAAAGACAGGACATTTGTCTTTTTGCTTTAGGACTATTTCACACACCCTACCATGCTTGTGCAAAGGACTTTTCTTCCTCCATAAGTCTGGGGAGCATGCACAGTGGAATTTGTGATTAAGGTGTCCCAAATACATGTGCATTTTCTTGGTTGGTTCAGTATGATTCTGACACAGGGACTGGCGTGGCTGCTGTGACTGGTGCAAGGAGTATGGGAAGACAAATATGTAGACCTGCTGACCTCACATATTTCAGGTAACTGTTCAGAGAGGGACTTCTGGCTTATATGCTCATTCTACTTCTAGTTTTAAAAGACATTTCATATTCTTTTCCATAACGATTGCTCTAATTTAGATATCACCCAAGTGTGCATCCTGGCGAGAAAGTTTTTCCTCTTGTTTTCTTGGTATTAACTTTCAAACAGCTGTGAAAGTGTCATCTAGTGCTTTTCATTGGTTGGTTCAAGCGATGAGTGACATAGAGCATTTTCCAGCATCTCTTGCCCAATCATATCTGTTCTTTTGAGCAAATCTACTCAGGCCCCTGACCCAGTGGATACAGAGATAGTTCACCTTCAAATAGCACAGACCATCAAACTGAAGAGAATCCTGCAACGAAACATTAACGCAAAGTATAAACTTCTTTTACTTAATGTCCGTATTTCTCAAGTATACAGCGAAAATCAGACTATTATGTGTCTACCAAGGAAGACATTCCCCGTCATCAGTCACTCTGACAAAGTCTCCTTCCTAGCCCCTATTGTGCAATGAGACTGACTCTTTGGCAATCTTCGAGGTGTTTCCCGTCATAGCTTTGGTAAGAATGTAAAGATTCTTCATTTAGTAAGGTGAAGTAAGCAGCAGACAAATTGTACTCAAGGTTCCCTCACACACTGACACCTACTGGGCTGAAGCGCACAGTGACTTCTAAGCAAGCCCGGCTGGCTCACTTTACAGGGAGTGAAAGTCTTTTCTTTTGATGTTCAATCGTTTAATTCAATATGGTCAGGAGGAGAAGTAATTCGCTTCCCCAACCCCGCCCCATCAAAGTCCGTTCCACAGCTTAACGAGTTTTCCTGAAAGCAGGGCTGGTGCGTAGATTTATGAGCCCCGGCGCTGGCACGGCTGAAAACAGCATTCTTGAAAATAAAACAAAACAAAGACAAGCAAACAACCCCAAAAAGAAACATGGAATTCCTTACAACTGTGTTTTGGGAGTGTCCGGGAGAGGAAGGTGCTAGATAAGATTCGGAGTGGAAAGGTCAGCTTAATTCCTGACTCCGGGACATGAGGGAAACGCAATAGGAAACAATACTCATGAAAGGTTACACTTCTGAGAGAAGGGAGTAGGTTTCTCTCCGCTGGCTTTGGCAATTTTGCTGCAGGGCAAGACAAGATCCTTGCCCGTTTAAAACGGTAAAACTCTTTGCCTTAAAAGGATGCAGGGATCCTTCATCTGGCAAAATAACTGCTTTGCACTTGGATATTTACAGCCTAGCCAAGCCTGCACGCTTGCCGTGAGCCGCGGTTAGCCAAACCGTCTGAGCGCGCCCAGCGAGCGTCCGCTGCGAAAGGCGGTGTTACTGGGCAGAGT